AAGCTGACGATTGGAACATGTCAAAGGAACAGATATCCTAACAAGTATTTATAATATATAGTGACAGATAAATATTCAATTATAATAATAATGCAATTATAAATAATCTAATCTTAGTCGTAAAACAATCCTAATCATAATATAATTTTAGTCGTAATATAATCCTAATTAATATAAGTAGTTTAATCCTAGTGCGACTCTAATTCTACAGCAGTGTTGTAAGCTTGTCAGTCAGCTTTGTTGGACCTGTTCCTTTGACTTGTTCCAATCGTCAGCTTCCTTCTTCATCAACACTTGTTGCAGACACATTAGTGAGCTTCGTTGGACCTGTTCCTTTGACATGTTCCAATCGTCAGCTTCCTTCTTCTTCAACAATTACGTCAAAGAAAAGATTAGAAATTATAAATACAATAATGCATTGTTTGAATTAGCAATAATTTGGAAACGAAGAGGAAGAATTGAGAGAACTAGAGTATAGGATGGAAGAGAAGAATTAAAAAAATTATTTATGTTAACAACTTGCATTGCAGATTACTGTTTATGTGTATTTGCAAATGAAGATTTATCTAAAACTCTAATTTCTTTGAATAATTTTAAAATCCAAACAAGTTTTGCAGTTATAGATCCCAAGCTTTATACTCAGCATTACTGAGCTTCTTGAAACTATGTTTTATTTTTTTTTATTTTTTCAAGAGATTAAGGAGTCTCCTATCTTAACAAGAAATCGTGTTACTAATTTTCTAGAAGTGGGGCATAATGTCTGGTCAACATCATAGTAGGGGGAAAAAAAATTGACTTTGACTTTGATAGAAATATTTCTTGCATAAACTGATTTTTACATACCTTATTATTCTTGTAGTAGCTTCTAAATGTGATTTCTTGAATTGATGAAAGAATTAACTCAGTGCTTATACACTGAATGTTATATCTGATTTGTTGTAGTAAGATATAGTAGTTTACATATTATCTTTTGATTACATCTATTAGTAGATCATTTTTCACTTCTTGATTTGAAATTGAATTTTTCATTAGATTGTCTAAGTCCTTATAGTTAACTTCACATTCACTTCAATTGGAGTTGCAGGCTTGCAACTGATCTTTAGTAGTTAAATTCACATTCACTTTAATTGAAGTTACTACTGATATTAATTTTTTTTATTAGATTAGGTTGCTTTCGACAATTAATACGTACGTCACCAACATAGATAAGGATAGACCCACTTGTATTCAATAGTTTTTTTAACTGACTTTGAATTACTTCCCAAGTATTATTATTTGCCAATGCATCTATATATTTCAGCCTTTATGGCATCCACCCATCTTAGTTTCTTAAGAAAGAAAAAAAAGTTTAATGTCCTAAGAAATAGCATAAATAAAAACTTGATAAATAAGAAGCAAATGATCGTAGTTGACTAGTTTATAAAGAGATTTTGACTGTTACTGAGTAGTAACAAAATCTTTCATCTAGAGGGGTGATGCTTTGATTCTAGAGCATCTTCTAGATGATGTTAATTGGTCAATAGTACTTTCAATAACAAAAATTGAAATATTTAGAACTTTTGAATTTTGACTGTGTTTTATTGAATGAAAATGAAGTGTTAGAGCTTGTATTAGCAGTAGTCTGATTAGTAGATTGTAGTACTAGACTTTGTAGGAATATCAACACACAATGGAATTTACTTAGAAAATACATAGAAAAAATGCAACTTGATTACTCTTCTCAACAGTTTTGAATGAAAAGGTTTTATTTTTTCCTTTTTGAATTCAACATTTTTATGAACAAAAAATATGTGATTAAATAGATCATAAAGTATATATATATTTTTTAAAAGTTGTAGTATCTTATATGTTCAACAATAATGGATATAACAACAGTTTCTAGTTTTATAATTTTTTATCTCACCATGTTATTTATCTTAACGAATACTCGATCCTTATTTGGTTAGAAATATAAACACAAAGGAGTAGCCTAAGAGGAATAAGTTGTGAATTTTGACGTAGCTCATCCATTCTACTCTATTAAATCACAGTTTTACGATGGTAGGTTGATATTGGGCTTTATCAAGCCATCAACAAACACCCTATTCATATCCAATCTATTTAAATCTAGAAGGCATAGTTACAATATATACCATTCGATTTTTTAGTTTACCAAATATAACCTAAGTAAATTATATATATAATGTGTATATATTATATGTATATTACATGTACAAGTATGTATAGATTTGTATATATTTATAGGAAAAGTCACATAAAAATTGTCTTTAAGATCCTAAATTACAATACATAAATTTACTATTAATCAATTATAAAATATAGTTTTTAATTACAATACATAACAATCTGATAGGGCCACACGTTTTGTTTATTTTTTGGGTTTTGGTGCTAATCTTTAAAAAGTGAAAATTTGTTATCTGATTAATAGGATTCTAACCATTAAGCACATTCCTAATTTGATGTATTTACGATTTGGATAGTAGTTACAAGATATAACTAGGAATAAGAATTTTATCTTGTCGATCTCCTAAAAGTTAGCTAGGGACATTTTATGTGAATATTGAACCATATATAATAAGGCATTTAATCTAATGCAATAAACTTCAAGGCATATATTTGGACATATAATTAGATAGAGAACGAGAGACACACGCATTTAGTAGGAATAATAATAATTATTATCTTATCCTAACTACCAATTCATTATTAGGTAGGCCATATAAGGTTTAGTTAATTTTTTTTACTTTTGACTTCTTTTGATGTCTTGATCAAATGAATCTTATATTTATTATCCAAAAGAGAACACATATATATTTATTTGAGTGCCTTTATCACAACAAATGATCAAGGTGAAAGTATATGTTTCCTAGTTTGAACTTATAAGGCCCTACTAATTTTATTTTTTTTTTTTATAGATGCAAAGAATTCATCTAATTAGAAATTCACAAATGAATGCAAAAAACAAAAAAAAATAATCAAATTAGGTGGAAAGGACTTTGAGTACGTAAAAAGAAGCAGCAAAAATCAACATCATGATCGATTTTAAGTTGGATATATGAGAACGTAAACTAATATAATATTAGAAGAAAACCTTATCTCATAGCACTGTAAGGTAATGAAATTGCTATATTGCATAAACGTCTTCCAATTTTATTCGATAAAGATAGAATATTTGGTCATCAAAGGTCTAATAAAGTAGGTAGCATATGTGTTTGTCATTAAGTAAGATTACTAGCTTGATTATCAAAAAAAAATCTATGCAATACTTTGATTTAATATCAATTGAATCCTTCTTTCTATTGCACTAAATGAAAACAATCCAATTTATCAAGTTTTTAATAAATAAAGTAAGAAAGTGAAAGGTACTACAAATATAAGTGAGTGCCATGTTTAGACAAGCTTAAATGCCTCATATTCTTACTTCATTTGACCAAACAATTAGTCAAAAGTAGAAAAGAGACAAAAAGAAAAAAACATTAAAAAAAAAACTACGTACCCCGCTTTTAGCATTACAACTACCAAAGTTTTGGCTTAAATATAATTTCATGGACCACAAACAGTACTTGTGCTTTTTTTTTTTAGAGAAAAGACATAAAGACACAATTAAAGTTGTCTCGTATTTTCATAAAGACACCTTAACTTTCAAATTGTCCTATCACCCCACAAAACTATTTAATATGGTTGTAAATGGGCCATTTTGACCCATTCCCTCGTCTGGGTTGTTACCACGCACATGAGGCGCGTCATTCAGTGTTTTCACTGCCATGGCCCAGCTTAAAAGTGTCGCGTGTCATTTTCTTTCTTTATTATTAATTATTTAATCAATTTATGTCATCTTCCCCAATTTTAAACCTAAAAATAGCTGTTGGTTGCCCTAATTTTTTGATTTCATGGTTTTTTTCCATAGCAAGATCAACGTTGGTTCTCTCTGTTTGACGACTTCATCATCTTCCCCAAGAAAATAAGGTAGGAATTCGTTTTATCTTTTAATTTCCAGTATAAAACGTTAATTTAAAGTTTTTATGGTTTAGTTTCTTCTGAATTTTGTGATTAGGTTTTGATTGAAAATGTCAAATACAATGTTGAATCGTATTTGTAATGATGAGAATGATCCGATGTTATGAGTGAAATTGCGATGCAAACATGGTGACTTACTATCAATGCAAACTTCATGGTCGGAGCATAATCCAGCTCGAAGATTTTGGTCTTGTCCACGCTATCGTGTATGTTTCCTAATTCTTTTATGGAGATCTTTTGTTATGTATTTTTCTTTAATTTGTTTTTGCGTATTTTAGGAGGATGCGTGCAACTTCTTTAGATGGAGGGATCGTGAAGATGTTGATATATGATCCAAGTATGTAATTTCGAGATTAGCAAAGAGAATTAAGGAGTTGGAAGAAGTATTGGCATGTTATGAAAGTCGTGTTGAAAGTAACCAAGTCGTGATGAAGGAGAAAAAGAAGAGCAAATATTGTAACTTGAAGCTAATTGTCTTGATTATTATTGTGTGTTTTCTATTTTTAAGTCTAACCAAGAATGTGAAGGATGGAAGTTGTAGGTGTATGCAACCAAAATTGCCATAGACATCTTTAGTTACTTTCAAATTTTTGAAGTCGTAGGTGTGTGTAACTAGAAGCTAAGCTAATTGTCTTGATCTTGCTAGTTGTAGGTGTGTGTAACTTGAAGGATGGAAGTTGTTGAATGCTCAAGTTATTGTTGGTCTTTGTTGTTGAATAGTTATGATTTGAACAAGTTGTTAATGTATTTGGTTCTCTTGTCTATATTATTGTGGCAACCATTTGAGAAACTTCAAAAATATGTTCAACTACAAATAAAAAGGCAACAACAAAACTGACCAAAAAGAGGACTTCATTTCAACATAATCATTCAAGTTTTGTTTGGTTACACACAAAATTGAGTTTGATTCCAACCAAAACAGCACCAAAATATACATAATTAAATTTTGTTTGGCAAAATGAACAAGACGACATCAAAATGCCCTACTTCCATGGCACATAAGTCTTCATACTTGAAGTTGTTTGGCTTTGGCTATTAGCAGTAGCAGCAGCTGCAGACCTAGTTTG